GTCGCCGCGCCGCAGCGGCCGGCCGGCCGGCCGGCGCCCGCGCGCGCGCCCGCGCGGCGGAGGGCCCGCGCGGCGGCCGGCGGCGAGTGGCCCTTTGGTGCGAGCCCGCAGGGCTTCCGCCAGAACTGGTTGTCGCGATCGTCGGCCACGCGCAGAGGGGGGTGGGGGGCAGGCTTCTGAAGAGCACCCCTGCTTCTTTGAATCCAGGCCTCCTGGATGGGGTCGGAGCAGGCGGGGTCGGAAGATCGCTCCGCATCGCCGATGCATCGGCGATGCGGCGCGATCATCCGACCCCATCTGCTCCAATCCCGCCTTGTCCACAGACGTATGGCCGGCGTCCTGAAGCCGCCTCCGTCTAAGAAGCCTTCCCCTCCCCCCTACCCCCCTAACCCCTTGCACGTGCCGCCAGGCCTGGATGGCCGCGCAACAATCCGGGCCACTCTTGGCCAGGGTCGCGCCTGCCTGCAGCCGTGGCGGGCGGCGGTGACGACGGGCGGGCGGCTGCGGGCGGCGGCGACGGACGCAGGGCGGCCGCGGCGGACCTCGGACCTCGCGGCGTCGGCGGCGGACGGCGGCGGGCGGCGTTCAACGCCAATGTTGGAGGGATGGCGGGGGCGACGTAAAGGGGATGGGCTCAGGGGGGAGCGCGTCGAACCCCAATCGCCTACTGATCGCCGCAGAGGGCCCGATGGCCCACCCCGCCCGGGGGCGTGCGGTTTCGCTGTCGGGCGCCCTCGCCGTGCATCGCCGACTCCAGGTCGCTCTTTCCCTCCCTGAGCCGGCCCCCCCCCCTGGCGCTGCCCCCCGAGGACGGACGGCTGCCGGCGGCGGCGACGGACAGGCGGCGGGCGCGGCGGCCTTCGGACCCGCGCGGCGGCGGCGGCGGACGGCGGCCGACGGCGGGCGACGCCAAGGGTGAGGTCAGAGGAGGCCCCTCTGTGCGAGGGCGCAGCTGCCGCGCGGTGCTCCCTGTGCGGCAAAGGCCGCCGCCTCCGCGGCACCAGCCGCGGAGGCGTTCGGCCGCGTCGCGAGAGCGACACTGGGCCGCGCTCGAAAGGCTCGAAAGGTCAGAGGAGGAGGAGGTGCCCACACTGTTGCCCTTTGCCTCGCTGCCGCCGTCTTGGGCTTCCTGGGAGGCCCTCGCCGCGCCACGGCCGGAGTCGCCTCGAGGCTCTGGCCGGAGGACATCCCGGGAGAGGTCCTGGTGTGAAGAGTGCACTCCCCTGCCCCTCTGCCGCCCGTGCCACCATGTGTGTATGTTGTACACGCTTGTCTTGTTTTGTGGCATGCACGCTGCCCGCCGCTGTTTTGGCCCTAGTCCTAGGGCCCTGGGACGCACCCGCAGTTGGACTGCCGCGCGGTCTTTGCTGAAAACAACTGCACTGACATTGGTAGCGGAGCTAGTAAGCTCCAGCGGACGCACTGCGTGCTCTGCTTCGGTGGTTGTGACCACCCGCGTGGGCCGCCATGGCCGCCAGCCAAGACGGCTCAGACGTGGAGGCTGCGTCCTCCGCAGGCACAGGTCCCCCGGACCTGCATGCAGTCCTGCGCGTGATGGCCGAGACCCAGCGGGAGCTCTTGGCCTTGCATCGGGATCGTGGCGACGGCGGTCCCAGACGTACACGTCTACTGCTGTCGCAGGTGAGGCTCCCAGAGTTCGATGGTGGAGTCGGTACGAGTACTAAGAAGTACCGAGAGTGGCGCAAGGAGGTTGAAGTCATCCGCAACCTCAATCAGCTCTCAGACGTGGAGCTGGGCCTGATCATCTACAGTCAAGTGACAGGTCGAGCCAAAGAGCTCATCGAGGTGCTTGACGCGTCGGACCTCCGACGCGAGGAGACGCTCGAGACCATCTTTGCTATCTACGACGACGCCTTCGAGAAGATGGATCACGAGCGCCTCGATCAGGTGCATCAGGATTGGGATCGAGCACGCCGTCGAGCTGGGCAGCCGATCATGGATTGGACCACGTACCTGCGCAAGAAGCGTATGGAGTTGCAGCTCGAGGATCCCACATCAGCGATCAGCGATCGCGCATTGGCAAGCAAGATGCTTCGTGGCGCTGGACTGTCGCAGAAGGAGCGAGCGCAGGTGCTCTTCAACTGTGGCGGCATCTACGACTCGAAGCGGATGGAGGTCGTGCTGAAGGCAGCCTACTCGAAGGTGCACGACATCGAGAAGCGCTCAGTGCTCCCTCGCCGCTCGCCGTTTGCGGCGCAGCGTGAGCACGGGCGCTCCTCTGGGAGTTCGGGCGGTCGCTATCCGCACCCTCCCATGGCTCGCAGGCCATGCGTGCTGCGAGGGCGCCCTGGCCAGCACGTACACGAGGTAGAGAACGGCGAAGACTACGATGAACACCACGGCGACCTCGAGGAGGCGCAGCATGACGAAGATGAAGCAGACGACCAGGGCGATGGAGACCATGGATGGGGCCGAGGGCACCCTCTTCGAGGACGGCGCTGAGGTCGACGAGGAGCTGGTGTCGGACAACGACGGGCCTGACGACGAGGAGTACGAGGCACCGGAGGATCTTCAGGAAGCGTTCTTGGCCGGCTGGAGGGCCAAGCAGAAGACGGCGGTACAGCGTCAGAAGCGCGGGTTCGTTGCTCCTCGGCAGCGGGACCCCAAGAAGATCAACGCCAGCGGCTCCTTCCAGGCTGGTCGGAAGCCGACAGACCAGCGCAAGGCTAACAGCCGGTGTGCTGACTGCGATCAGCCTGGCCACTGGCGTGGCGACCCAGAGTGCCCCAAGGTGAAGAGTGGCGAGCGCGAGCCGTACAACAAGATCGGGCCTAAGAATGGCCAGCCAGCGTCGCCCAACCAGCGGAGCTCTGTGAAGCCGCCGGCGCCTAGGCAGGTGCATGGACCGATCGTCCACTGGGTTGGCATGGCAGGCAGTGCCGAGGAGCGTCGTGGCCGCGCTCCATGGCGCCGTGCTCCCCAGTCGGTGCCTGCCCAGAGGCATCCAGTGGAGGGTCGAGCGGACGCGCCGGAGCGGATCATTATGCACCCCAGGCCCAAGAGCATGCCTGCGCCGAGCCTACGCCGGGACGCCGACGATGGCCCAGGGCCCGCACAGAGCAGTGATGAACGCGCGCGCGCCCGTGCCAGGCGCGGGGAGGATCAGGAGGACGAGGATGCATGCGTGCGTTGTCATCGCATTCTGGCCAACACCCACCCAAAGGGGCACAGCGTGGAGTTGGAGTTTCCTGACCTTGCCACGGTCCATCACATCGTGGAGCGCGTGACGAACAAGAAGCCTATCTTCTTCAAGCAAGGCCGCTTCGAGAGCCTCGACTTCGTCCAGGGTCGGCTCGTGCGCCTGCAGCTGACCACATCGAAGCCCTGTACGGCGGCTGAGGTGGATCTCGACGAGATCACGGCAACTATATTCAATCAAGATCGTGATGGGCGGCAATCGTGATACCAAGCCCCGTGACGATCGGCGCGGTGAAGGCGGGAGTCGTGACACCAAGCAGCGTGGAGATCATCATCGAGATCGTCGGGGCGACCGCCAGCGTGATCGGGGAGCTGTTCTTCGCGAGCCTCGCGCCCCTCCTCCGCCCGAGGCGGAGGCTTCCTCGCGTTCAAGGTCGCGGAGTACACCAGGAGGCCGCGGCGCGAAGAAAGAGAAGCGGAGTCCACCAGAAGACCGCGGTGAGAAGGAAGAAAAGGAAGAAAAGAAAGAGAAGAAGAAGAAGGCGAGGAGCAGCAAAGAAGAGAAGAAAGAGAGAAAGAAGGCAAGAAGCAGCAAGGAAGTGAAGAACGAGGACGAGGCCAGCGAGGATCCTGAGGCCACCGAGGACGACAACGACCAGCGGCGTGAGGATAAGGAGGTGCCGTTCACGCCAGAGGAGATGGACGAGATCTTCTGCAGCTGGCATCCGCGTCAGGATATCTTCAGGGATTACCTGACGCCGCCGGCAACCATCCACTTCATCACTAAGAACGACCGCGTCGTGCGCCTCAATCTCTACACGCGCCGCTGCGAGAAGCCAGATTTCTCCTTATCCAGCGGCCCTGCGAGGGCCCATCCCGTATACGTGGTGGAGGCGTCGGCGAAGGGAGCATCGAAGACCAAAGAATCCCCAGACGGAGCTGTGCCTGGACTAACGTCTGCCGCTCCGACCGGGGAGGCCGCCGCTGCCCCTAAGGAAGAGGACTGGGTCATGGCAGGAGCCTCCGAGGAAGTGAGAAAGAGCGAGGAAAAGAAGCGACTAGAGGTTTTGCAGCGTGATAAAGCTGAGTTGCTGGATCGCCTCGCGCTGATAGAGAAACAGGGCATGGAGATGCACACCCGATTGAACCCATGCGAGGTCTACGACGGCCTACAGAAGCGACGTGAGCAGGCAACTCTGCCAGAGCGTGCCCTGCCCACATCTCCTGAGCAGCAGGGAGTCGGAAGCGTGTGGAAGAACATGGAGGCAATACGACGACGTGTCCACCTTCCAGCGCCTCCAGGAGCCGCGAGCTCAGGTGCCCCTGCCGCTGCGACGGCATCTCCAGCTGCATCTGGAGTCCCGCGTGTAGTCGCCGCCTCTGGACGGAGCTACGTCATGAGTGTCGGTGCCACGCAGAGTGACCTGGAGAAGCAGCAGATGCATCGAGCCATGTACGACTCGCAGTTCGACGGCGAGAGGCTGGTTCCAGGCCCGAAGGCGAAGTTCGACCCAGAGCTTATGCAGCAGCAGGCTGAGTGTGTTCATCCTGTGGGCGAGTTGAAGTCGCAGTCAAACGGCACCGTGATCTTCGCGAAGTGCAAGAAGTGCTCGCTGAAGTCGGTGATTCATTGCACGCTGGAGAAGCCCAAGAAGGATGAAAGGGGAACCTTCCAAGAACACCCCAGACGGAGCTGTGCCAGGACTAACGTCTGCCGCTCCGACTGGGGAGGATGTTGCCGTCAAAGGGGGCGCGGGCCCCTGGGCAGCAAAGGGCGCAGACCCTTGGGCAGCAAAAGGGGGATCTGCGGCCCACATGGTCACCACCCGAGAGGAGTGCCC